CCCACCTCTGGCTCAGAGACTTGCTACAAATAATGACAGGATTCAGCATAGCGGCCAGTTTGTATGCAGTGGCATCGTAAGGCAAGTAAACACAGGCGGTCTGTCTGGAAGAATCTCCACGTGCAGGCTGCGTCCTGGGCTGCCGTCTCTCCCTGGGGGACACATGGCAGCACCCACTCCTTCTCCAGCAACAAAATCGTGAGGCTACCTGGGTGGTGTTTCTGAGCAGAGCAGTCCAGCCCAGAGTTCTTGTCAGATGCCAGGTGCCAGAGCTCTAGCAGGAAAGCGGGCCCAGTGCACCACGCGGTCTGCACGGTGTAATCACAGCAAACGCCCTGGTGGTTTCGGAGGCTCCCAGATGCCAGTCAGTGGTACATTTTACCAGCTGGCTTCTGCAATGACAGCAGCTCCAGGCCGGCCTCGTCAGCCCCTTTCTGCCTACCCACAGGCTTGGTACAACAGGCCCGCTCCATCCTGCCCTTTCCTTTCCCCTGTTTGTATCTCTACCACGACGGTGGGAAAGCTGGCTCTGCTGGCTTCGGGATACGTGTTTCACCAGGGCCCTGCATCACCACAGCGTCCTCAGCCTCTCCCACCCTCCCCATATACTGCCCCAGCCCAAGAACAGGATGACCCTCAGGCCAGCCGCCCTGGAGAGGAGAGGTAGCAGCAGGACTGGCAGGAGGGCGACAAACCTGCATTGAACCCCTGCAGCGGTCCCTGCCCGGACAGCTCTGGGTTAGGAAGGCCCATCGAGGTTATTCCAAGTTGTGCCCATGAGACCAGCCCTTTCACCCCTCTCCTCCAGTTGCTGGGTAAGAACCATCCTGGGAAAGGCCAGGCCAAGGTGGCTTTGGCAGCTAAGGCTGACTCTCGGGGCTGCAGCTGGAAGCTGTCTGCCAGCCACTGTGACAAGAGACCCCACCACCCAGCCCCTGCACCCTCCTGGGTCAGTCCTTCCAGTGGAATCGTGCAGGGAGGACAAGATGAAAACATGTCACTGCTATTTTAAAATTGTGCCATACATCTCATTTTCATATGTTTAAATGGGCTTTTCCTCATTATGAAAAGCTTTACTAAAACATTTGCTTCCAGTGAGTCACCCCAAACTAGGAAGGAAAACAAAGCCATCCTCTTCCCATTTCCCACAGAAAGCAGTCCCTCTGAAGTGTCGTGGTACCTAGGTGCTATCTGAGTTGAAGGTTGTTCTACTTCCACGGTTTGACATCTAATCTGGCTTTCAAGACTTTCCTTTTAAACGATGTCTTGTTACTTTTTTTTAATTGAGTTTATTGGTGCATTTTAGGTATACAGTACAGTTACATTCATCATTGGGATCCTGTACCTTTACATGACAGGTCTTGGTTCTCGTTTTTTCCCCTTGTCCCTGCCCTCTCTTCACCCGTCCTCCCCTCCCCATTTACAAACACTTTATTTCCATGTTTTCATTTCCTCATATTTTTTTCTTTTCCCTTATTACCTTTCCCCTACCCTTCCCACTTTCCCTACACCTTTAGCCCTTTTCTTCCTATTTCACATTGTCATCCCATTAGGATCTTATGTACTATTACAGTTTTTCACACCAGAGAAACTATTCAGTATTTACACACGTGTGACTTATTTCATTTAGGAGCATATCCTCAAAAATGTATTGTTACCTTTTTTAAGTGAGAATCTTGATATTGGGTGCTTTTAAGCAGTTCCTTAGGACCAACAAATGTGCAGTGGATGAAATTGCAAGAAAAGCGGACCCAGACAGTATTTTAACTGCATTTTCCACAACATGAGGCAGTGTTCACAGAGCTGTGCTGGTTTTGCTGTGAGCCAAAAGCAGGAAAGTTTTTACACATAGGGTCAGAAGGGGTTCTAGGAAAATCAACAGTTGGGCAAGGATAGAGGATTTAAAGCATGATTTTATCTACAAAGCATTGCTTTTTAGTTCTAACTACACAGAAAGTCAAGCTGGGTACATCAGAGAAATGAAGAAAAGAAAGGGCAGAGGTTCTGGGACATGAATGAGCGGTGAATTAATACAAAGTACTTTTTTCAAGTTAGAATTCATTATTATTTTGCTGTTGGGACTTTTAAAAAATGATTTATTAGGTAAAATGTATTTTTTCAGTCTCTACAGACATTTTAAACACGTTACAATTCACTCAATAGTAGTTTTTCCTGTTTATTTCCACCACTAATCAGGTTATTGTTTGTGAACCAGATCACGTTTTTGAGCTGAATGTTTTACCTACAGATTACAGTAGGTGGCGTCCCCCTTTGTTGTACTGATATCGGCTCAAATTAATTGCCTGGCATCCCTGTTGTGTCCTGTTTGGACCGAATGGATGTGCGTGGGAAAGGGTAGATTAGAGGGAGGTTTCAGTGCTCGCCTCCCTGGTTGGCATTTGTGGCTCACCTGGGAAGGTCATTCTTTCCTGATCGTCCTTGGTTTTCCAGAAATTGAAGGCGTTGTCTTCCAGAACTACTACTGCCTGCTGTCTCTCTGCAAAATGAAAGTTTTCAAGTTTTTAGCTCAAAAATGAGAACACACACACACATGGGAGGCATAGCTTCATACCACCCACGTGGCACTGGCTTCCAGTTTAGTGATCACGAACTAAACAAAGACCTATGATCTGGTTCCAACAGGAAAGTTTGTCATTGTTTTGCACCTGTGATAGGTTTAAAAAAGTATTGAAAGGTGGTTGAAATTTATTTTCCAAGGGTTCATTGTTTTGGCCAGTCTTTGTGTCATATTGCCATAGATACTTGGATAAAAACTTCATGACCTCTTTTTAACACAACCACCCGTTCTGCTTTCTGTGGTGATGACTTCATTGCACGTTTCTTCTTAAACGCGTTCTCACTCTTTATTCTCTGTCTTCTTGGACTGTGCAGCTCATTTTTATTTTCTCAGTTACGCTCTTTTTTTGAGGGAGGGCAGCAGTGGGAGTTGAACCCAGGGCCTTTTGCTAAGTTGGTAAATTGTCCAGGCTGGGCTTGCACTTAAGCATCCCGCTGCCTTAGGCTCCCAGAGTGCTGGGATTACAAACGTGTGCTGCAGTGCTGGGCCTTGGTACTTACACTTAAACAACATGAATGGCTCTTTCTTCTATTTCAACCAGGTCTCAGGAAAGATGGCAAGAGATTGATATTTAAACATCCCGACAGTAAAGCAGCCATCTCTCTCTGTAAGCCCTGTTAGTTGTATTTTTAGGATTTCTGTACCACCAGATCAGTTCATCAGGGGTCAGTCTAAGAAGTGTTTTGAGGTACTAGGTCTCATTCTGTTGGTATCTTGAAAAGTTTTGGGATAACTACAGTACCCTTCACATAACTCATCTTCTCCCTAAAAGAAGAGAAAAATACTTAAGGATGACCTCAGAGGTTCATCACAAAACGCAAACCAAAAAAGAAGTAACTGAACAGCACAATGGTCAAGGAGAAAGCCTTGTTGGCGAAGCACTGTCTTTGGATCCCGTCCTTGCCCTTCCCTTGCCTGTTCGAGACAGGGGACTCGCGTTAATCAGCCCAGGCTTCCTTCCATGGGAGAAGACTGAGCAGCCTTAGCAGCAGGCACTGGTCCCTTCCCAAGGCTGGAGGGTGCAAGTCCGAGATCAAGGTGCTCCTAGGGCTGGCGTCTCTGCGGCCTCCCTCCTGCTGCGTGAGTGGCTGTCGTCTCGCGGTGTCCTCACGTGGTCTGCCGTCTGCGCTCCTGTCTCTGCTGTCTCTTCTTCCTCTTCCCAGGGCCTGGCCTTCGCTTCCTTGTAACCCCCATTTCCAAATGCAGCCATGTTGGGGTTGGGGCTTTAACCTGTGACTTGGGTGAGCACAGTTCGTTCCATATCAAAAGTGAAGGTCTCTTAAGTGAGGTAGGTCCCTTGGTTAAATTAACCTTGTTTTTTTTCCACTTGTTTTGTTTTAAACTGGAGAGACACATTGTATTATTCCTTACTTGTAAGTGAAGACTGTCACTTTCTGAAACTCTCAATGGAGTAAGAAATAAGGATTCATACAAACGCCTGTCTATTCCTGTGCGTGTTCTCTGAACTGCCCCGTGACCTTCCCACTGACTCGCACTCCGTCAAGACTGCGGTTGCTGAGGAGTTGCTGAAGGTGTGCATGTTCAGAAAAAGCCAGATGCACAGCTCTGTAAAGAGAAAACCAAAAGCAAGGCTGTAGGAGCAGTTTCCGTTCACAGCACTGGCTGGCACTGTGCATCCCAGAGAGGACAGGACTTTGCCACTTGACACTGCTCCTTGATGCTCCCAATTTACAGACGCTTTTTTCCGTGACTGTCACTAGTTCACTGGAGGTCCGTTAGGGTTCCGTGAGCACTCGAGAGAGCCTCTGGCTCCCCGCCGGGGTCTGCAGTGCCAGGAGCCCTGCTGCAGTCTGTTCATCTCATACGGCTGTGCCGCGGTTGTGGTTTGGGGTTTTTCTCTCTCTTAGAAAATCCATTTTGTGTCTCTCGTTTTCAAGGTGACCTCGTTTACCTGTCACCACTCTGCACAGACACCACGTAGAGCAATGGAAGTCATCCCAGCCCCAGCAGTAGGACTGTTGTTCCAGTGTTCTGAGTCTGAACAGTTTTTCAAAGCAGAATCGTGATCCCCATGTACTTCTGATTTCCAGAAGTGAAATACGAGGGCAGGAAAACACCTGACGGGTTGCATTAGTCTCATTTTGAGAGGCATTCCTTTTGGATAAGTACCATGCTCTCTTAATACCTGGTATAGGATTACAGGCAGCACGGAGAGAACTTGCAAACTGGAATCTTTACTGAAGTGAATTAGCACTGTGGATTACATGTTTTGCATATTGGAGTTTGCCTTTCTTAAAAATATTTTTGTGAGATTATAAGGAAGTCTACAACATATAAAGTGAGAAGGTCACAGTACGCTTTGTTGTTAGTAAACGAAGTCATTGCTTTTGGAGTATGCTATATAGAATGAGTCTGAATAATAATTTAATCTCGCTGTTGTTTTCCCTTTCTTACTTCGTAGGTACAGAGGCAAAACGTACAGAGCTGTGGTCAAGATCGTGCGAACCTCTGACCAGGTCGCCAACTTCTGCCAGCGTGTGTGTGCCAAGCTAGAATGCTGTCCAAACTTGTTTAGTCCTGTGCTGATTTCTGAAAACTGCCCGGAGAACTGCTCCATCCACACCAAAACCAAATACAGTAAGTACGAGTGATGGAAGAGAACAGCAAGCGCGGCAGGCCTGACCTGCAGTGCCCATGTTTGTTTTTAACCTTTGGAGGAGTTTTTCAGAGGAATTGCTCTGGAGAATTCTTTAATATTTGTTGTGGCAGATCCCTGTGTGTCTTTTAGGCATAAGGAAAGGAAGGACTGATTGCAAATAGGATGATCATCAATAGCGGGCTCTGTAGAGGGCGAGAGGAGATTGCCGTAAGCTCACTGTCATGAATTGCAGGGGCTTTGACCCCAAAGCCACGTGGCTGGAAGAAGGTGACGCAGTAGTTGGGACCTTGTACTCACTTCCTTCTTTACACCGAGCAGTTGTAGTGATTCTTCCGTTGCCTTTCTTGCCACACCCTTGCCAGGGCGTCTGCCCTGCACAGATGCAGCCCTCAGAACTCTCAGAACATTAGAGGATTCATGCAGAAGCACCCATCCCTTTTTTTTTTGGTCCCAGCTGCCTTAGTTTGTCCACTGCAAGATGACCCAGCAGCGGCCCCTACCCTGCCAACCTTCGGGACGTGCCACCTCCGCTCTGTCGCGTGGCTGCCTTGGGCTGTTTCCCTGCCCTTCCTCCGTTCTTACCACTTTCCTCTCCTCCTGGACAGCCACTCCACGTGCCCCACCTCTGATGTCTTGAGCTCTGAAAACTCAGGTCCACAACTTATGATCTCCCTACATCTGTCCTCAATTGTCTCATCCCAGGGCAGTGACCTGGAAGTTGGCACTGCCACGGCTCGTGGTCAGTGCTCTGTGAGCCTTCTGGCGTTTGTCAGCTGGCGTGGTGGAACCAGGTATCCAGATGTACTTAGGCCGGTGTTCAGGTTGTGACTTTCCTGCTGTTTTGTCTGTTTCTGTCTGTGCAGACTTGCACACCCTAGCCCACCTTCCACTCCCACTACTGCTAAACGTCGGCTACTCTGTCCGTCAGGTGTTCCCCGTTTCAGTCGGCACAGTGGTGTGGTCTCAGCTGAGAGCCGTGGGTGTGTTTATGTCACCGCTTCTTGAAGAACTCCTTCCCACATCACCTTGGCCAGGGTAGGGGTTCACTGGGCACCAGCTGCTCCTGCATAGAGACCAACTTGATTGGGAGCCAAGCTTCGTCTGACTAATTAGAGAGAAAGAGCCGCCTTGTTATCTCAATTATAGGCAGCTGAAATGAGCTCAGAGGTCATTCTGGATCTGGGTTTAGAAAACTCAAAATTCCTAAGGTCCTCATGGTCCCTGTAGAGCAGCTATTGCTGCAGATTCAGCCTGAGCTGTAGTGGGCAGATAGCAGAACACTGTTTGGGTGGGTTCTGGAAAAGTACAGGCAGGGACCACCCATCTAATGCTAGGGCTTGAAAGGTGTGCCAAGCTCTGGTTGCATTTAGTGAACCCAGTTCTGATTTCTGGCTGCCAATTTCTGAAGCCCAGACTGTGCCACCTTTGTCTTGTCCACTGGGGGCTCTGGGTGCAAGCCCAGGCTCAGTCACTCACACCATAGCTGGAGGTGACAGTGAAGCAGTGTCTGTCCCGCTCAACCAAGAGCGTGGTCCCACTACAGCTGGGACTGGGAAGCTGTTCCAGGCCCCCTCCGCCCTGAAGCCTCAGGAAGGAGAGCAGGGATGCTTTCTTTGAGCCCCCAGGCCGCTCCCCTGTACTTTCCGGACAGTTTTTGTGAACATGTTCCTTTCAGCCCACTGCAAGTGAGAGATGTCAGAGCAGAGAAGTCTAGACTGGAAGGAGATCTGTGCCCCTTGGTCGTGGTGGTGTCATCTTCCAGATGAGCAAACTGAAGCCCAGGAATGTCAGGAGCCTGATCTGTGTGACAAAGCTAGAGGCTTGGCTGGACGGGGTACATGGCGTGGTGTGGGGCAGCCACTGTCACCAGGGAGCTGAGTGGTTCAATATCTTGTGATCGTCTTGTTTGGCTCACTTCATCCATTGGTAAGGATTCCTCAGCTGCATTTGGCTCTTTTCCCTGGTACTGGGGATCGAACTCAGGACCTTGCGCTTGCGAGGAAGGCGCAGCCCCACTGAGCTAAATCCCCAGTCCTTGCATTTGGTTCTTTCACGGGATGGTGACATCCCACTGGGACAGTGGGACTTTCTGGCAGTAAGCCGTCTTGATCACCATCGTAATTGAATCCTGGATCCCTCTTAGTGCTTTAATTAGTTGAGTGTATATTTAATTTAGGAAAACATTAATCATTCTTAAGAATTGGTAATAATTTTCAAGAGTGCTGTAAATGTTGATAAATACATGTGTCTCTGCCGTGAAATTCAGAAGTACTGAGTTTCCCCTGAATAGGAAGACAGAAGAGTTCACCTGTCTTAGTACAGAAAGAAGGCTGTTTGAACGTGAATGCAGCTGTTGCGCTTAGGATGTTAGTTTGTCTTGGTGAGATCAGGAGGTGGGAGACTCTGTCACGACACTGTGAATGTAACCAAGGTGCCTGTTGACTGACAATTCAAGTTCAGACTTGGGAGTAAGTGTCAGCTGACTCCAGTGAAGTAATTGCTTACCTCTGTCTGCGGTTTTTGGGGAGCAGGAAAGGGAGAAGATGAACTTCCAGTAAGCACCTTTGACTCCTTTTACCTGTCTGCTTTGGCTGCCATGATAGGATACCCCAGAGGCCTGGTGGCTTACGCAACAGATGTTCGTTGCCCGCAGCTCTGAGGCCTGCAGCCTGAAGTGTCAGCAGGTTAGGTTTCTGGAACGTTCCTTCCTTGCAGGCACCTGCCTCCTGGCTGTGTCCTCACGTGAGGCATTCGCTGTGTGTGCACATCCTGGGGCCTCTTCCTCTTCCCATAAGGGCACTGGTCCTGTGAGGCTAGGGCCCTACCTTTACAATCTCATTCAGCATTCATTGGCTCCTGCAAGGCCCCTCTTCTGGTACCTCATTCTGGGATGAGGTCTTCAACACTTGAGTGCCGGGAGGACACAAAGTCCTTAATGCCTTCTAACCTTGAAGCCCCAGAGAGATGTTTTCTCTGCGCACTGTTGTCGACCATGTTCCCGAGGTACAAATGAGATGCTGTAGGTACACTGTCCAAAAGGAAAGAACCACTGCTGCCAGTTTTTTCCCTCCTCTTTCCTCCCCTCCTGTCCTCTGTCTTTATCTACATACGTGTGTGTTTAGCCTAAACATTTTTAAATCATCCTTCTCCCCGTAGCTTATTATTATGGAAAGAGAAAGAAGATCATTAAGCCTCCAATCGGGGAAAGCAACATTGAAAGTGGACATCCTAAACCATCAAGAAGAAGAAAGCGACGAAAATCCATCTTTGTGCAGAAGAAACGGAGGTCTTCAACCATGGACTTTGCAGCAGGCTCTGGGGAGGTAAGTTCCGTCCACAGCATTCCTGACCCTGACTTTGGACATTCGGCCCTTGCAGCCAGAGGCTGCCGCACGAGAGGCCACAGGTGAAGTCTGCTTGCAGAACAGCTCAGAGCGTGAATTAAGGAGCCCCTCCTCCCATGAACGTCGTGTGTTCAGCTGCTCTGGCTTAGAAAGGCTTAGGCCTGTGGCGGGGACCATCACAGAGCCCTCAGAGGCCTCCTAGAGAAGCACCGGGAGGAGGAGGAGCTGGGATCCGAGCCCGCTGCATGGCTGTGGGCCAGGCCACCGTGTCCACCCGTGTCCCTTCTGTGCGGCCCCGTCCTCAGCACAGTTCTCTTCTTCCCAGGAAAGTGAGGAGGAGGATGCAGACGCCCTGGATGATGACACCGCCAGCGAGGAGACCGGCTCTGAGCTCCGAGATGACCAGACAGACACCTCCTCAGCAGAGGTGCCCTCGGCACGGCCCCGGAGGGCTGCTACCCTGCGGAGCAGCTCAGAGCCCGCCCGCCGGCCGGCCGCGGAGAGGACACGAAGGGGCCGCCTGGTGCCCACTACTCCCTCTGCCGAGGAGGGGGACAAGGGCCCACCTGCCAAGCCTGAGGGCTCAGAGGTGAGCTTGGGATGGGGCGTGCCACTCCTCTTTGTGAAAAACATGAAGCCAGGCGTGGTAAGGCATACCAGCAGTCCCCATGCTCTGGGAGGCTGAGGCAGGAAGATCACAAGTTCAAGCCCAGCCTGGACTCTGGTTTAAAATAAAAATGGCTGGAGGTGTAGCTTAATGCAATGTCTCCGAGTCCATCCCCAGGAGGGAAAAAGACGAAGAAGAACATGAATTACAGTTTGGGGCAAAATTTTGGGAAAACCTCTTGAAAATATCAAAACGGTAGCGGCTGCTCCAGTGAAGTTTCTAAGTGTGAGGCAGAAGGTGCTGGTCTCGCCTGCTGGCAGAGCTGGCCACTGAGCACGAGAAAGGCACGTGCAGGTCTGGGACAGTGTCTGCAGGGCTTTTTGACAGACCGGTCCATTCTTCTGGGCCCCTGGACACCAGGCTTCCGGAATTCCATCTCCAGTCTCCTGTTTCTGCCCTTGCCTTTTGCTGTGTTTCCTCTATGGTGCACCTCTGTGATGTCCTCAAATATGAAACCCCTGCGCCGGCCTTCCCCACACCTGCAGGGAACAGGTAACCCCTGAAAAGGTGGTTGGCACCATTGTCACCACACCCAGAGAGCGACCCCGGCGAAGTCCGTAGGCCGAAGCTCTTGCACCCTGGGCTGTCACTGAGGCTTAGGAGAAGGACTTACTGAGACAGGTGCTGCGAGACTGACTGCGGCTTGTTCAGGCAAAGCAGGCGGTGGCTCCAGCTAACGCAGTGCGTGGGGCCTGGAGGGCACAGGGAAGGCCCCAGCTGACCGTCTCCTGCTCACCTTCCCCTGCAGGACACGAAACAGGAGGACGAGGAAAGGCTGGTCCTGGAGAGCAACCCCCTGGAGTGGACAGTCACCGACGTGGTGCAGTTCATTAAGTTGACAGACTGTGCCCCCTTGGCTAAGATCTTCCAGGAGCAGGTACAGTTCGTGTCCGGAGGCTCCAGATCTTACAGGAGCCTCCTGTCGTTTTTGGCTTCTGCATCGACTGTGACTCCCACCTGTAGGTGACACCTGTTTGAGGCCTCCTGGGTACTGCTGGGCAGGGGTGGGAGACCCCACTCTCGCAGGACCCCGTTAGAACCTTGTTCCCACTTCCCACTGGCCTCACTGGCAGCATGGCGGTGAGGCTCTTCTCAGTACCCCTTGGACTGCCCGCCCAGGAGGGAGTCGGAGCTGGCTCCGCCCTCACTCTTTACTGACCCCACACTGGGGAGCTCACACTACTGTCCGGCAGGGCAGGGGGCAAATTCCAAGCTCCAGCAGGACTTAGTGGTATTAACCTGTGGTCTCAGTCTGCTTGGCCTTCTCACGTGCTGCCCTGGTGGGGGCCTCAGGTGCCTGATTGCACCTGGTGGAGCTGCCTGCTGGGCCTTACACCTGCTACAGACAGGGCTGGGTGAGATTTCCCTGTGGGTTTGCCGTCAGAGCCGCTTCTGTCTGCAGGCTTTGTGTCTTGCTAAGCCGCCCCTTTGGAGACCTCTGGCTATAGAATGAAGGCTCTGAGTGGGCCCTCGTGTGAGTCTCTGTTGGAAAACCTGAGTTGCCAAGTTTTTCTGCTCTAAGTCTTATTTTTTTCTTTATTAAGTTCACTGGTACTTTTTAGGTGTACGGTACAGTTACATTCATCATGGGGGTCTTGTACCTTTACGTGCTGCATCTTGGTTCTCATTTTTCCCCTTACCCCTGCCTCCATTCACCCCCTCCAGCCTCCCTATTTACACAGACTTTGTTTCCATTTTTTTCCTTTTCTCATATTTTTTCTTTTCCTTTCTTTCCTAAGCCTTGACTGCGTGATCCACAGTCACCACAAAACTAAACACTGCTTTACCCCACGTCATGAACTCAGGTCCTGGGGCCCCCAGCCGGTCTGCCCTTTGTGCTCCACTTTTCAGAATCTTCTGTTTGGTTTATAGATAACGTCCAATGGTTTTAGTTATGCTCTGCGGGAGAACTAGGGGAAAGTGTGTCTGCTGCACCTTAGTTGAGTGGCCACTCTCTGTTCATTGTGTTCATTTAGTCCTGATTATTTCTTCCTGTCTTCATTTCTTGCATCACGAGAGAGTGAAAAGCTACGGTCTTGTGACAAGTGAACAATAACTGCGTGATCTCTACCTAAGGGAGCTCAGAACCTAGCAGAGGAAGTGACTTAGTTAGCTGAGACGTAAGATGTACCACGATGTGCCACGGGAAGAGAGGGCTTGTGCTTTCGTGGTCCCTTAAATTCAGAAGAGGAGGAGCTGCCACTCCACACAGCGACTGCTGTGCACCTTTCTTCCCTGGCCTTGTCTGAGAGGCTCAAGTTGTTTAAGCCTGTGCTTCTTCCTGTACACTGTACATACCATTTGTTGAAATTTCTTACAGGGTCCCACAGTTTTTACTCTCTTTTAAAAGACCACATGTTAAAAAGTATTATTTTCCATATAATAAATTAAAGATACGTTTATCCAGTCTGCTTTTAGACTTAACAAACTGAAAGTCCAGAAAGATTTTTTTCACGCATCAAATGTGAAGGAAAAAACCCACAAAGTGTCTGGTTTCCCATGCACCCCGGGAAGTTCTCAACTTTTCTCCCCAGATCAGTGTGGTAATGAATTGTGCAAAGCAAATCAATGCAGTCCCTGAGGAGAGCACTGTAGTGCATTCAGAGCTCTCACACCCTGTATCTGGGAAGTCCGGGAGGTGACATGATCACTTGATCCACCCCAAAACCTTTCGCAGACACCCAGTAAGTTCGTGCTGTAGGAGTGAACGGAGCCAGACAGAGGGTCACCTCCCAGCTTTCTGATACTTGCTACACCTCCTCCGTGGGTGACACTGAAAGCAGACCAGCAAGGAGAAGCCCTTTTTGACCTAAAGAACATGGGCAATGACCTTTTCCATTCAGTAAAACACACAAACAGGAAAGAGAGGATCGCAAGTCATGTTAGAACTGAGGAGATACGGGGCTTGTTGAGAAGCCACTTGGCCATCTTGAAAATAAAAGTAAAGCAATAGGTTGAAATCCCTTGGAAAGCGTTGCCTAACGCAGCATTTTCGCTGTCTGCCATTTATGGGTAGTAGGGCTGCCCCCCCCAGCATTGTATCAAATACATGACAGATGGTTATTACACAGCTTTAATATGCTAATTTGTACCTGTTTATATAAACGTGCAAGTGAGCGCCTGTTAGATGCCTTATAATATCCATAAAGGGGTTCTAGAATGTAGTTCCATATAGTATTGTTTTTGCTTTATTTTGTTTTAGGCTCACAAGCCGTTTTAACTAAGAAATAGTTTCGGTAGAGCCAGAACAAAGAGCACAGATTTTCCCACTTCGAGTTTCCAAATTAGGTTTGGGGCTTGAGTCCATGTATGCAATGAAAGGTAACCATTGTACCTTGTAGAGATTCCCAGAAAAAGAAAGCGAGACAGAGCTGGTTTGGGGAAAAGGCTAATACACTATTGTACAAAGTCCTATTTTACGTCCTCCTACACTCAGTTTCTAGCAGTGTCCCAGAACATTTCACAGAAGCGGGACATCACTGGCGAGTTCCCAAGTGTCCTGTGAAGCCATGGGTAAGGAGCCTCCCTTCGTCTGTAGCACCAGTTACAGACGTGGTCCACCCTTCAAACTTGTTTTCTCTTACGAGAGGGAAGAATAGGTGGGCTTTAATTGATACAGTCCAAATCCCATGCAATTTTACATTGCACACTGGGCAGTTTCAGCTGTTGTAATAACGAGCTGTTCCCGCTGGGCCGTCTGCAGCGCTTGGGCACTCGAGCCCTTTCCTGTTCCATCAGACCTTCAGTTAGTTGTTCTTCCTGATTCCTTTGGCCTAGGCTGATCTGGTGAGGCCTCCGATGCGTCACTGCAGGCATAGCCTGGGCTTTTAGATAAACTAGAAGGACCTTGCAGGCTTTGTGCACACACAGGGTAATAGCTGTGCGTGCTCACGCCTCTGGGTGTTATAAATTCAGAGACTGCTGGAATCACTAGGGGCACTTGCAGAAATTATGAACCTCTCCTTACCAGCATATATGCCTTTTATTTCTGAAACATTGTGGCAACCTTTAAAAAAAATCTACACTCTGTAATTCCGTGCTGCAAACAGATACATTATGCAGTAAAAACTACACATCTATAGCTGAAAAGAGACCCCACATGACTGTAAACAACATTGGCCCATTTATCCACCTTTTGTGAAGCAGGCTGCTTTTGTATTATAAGCAGACTGCCCAAGTTAGTGATCTAATAAAAAAATTTTCAGGCTAGTTTACAAGCTTAGTTTTGACTGAGACTATTCCCTCCCCTTTTTACTACTGCAGACCTGATTACCTCTATTAAGGGACTGCCAAATCTTTTTTTTTTTTTTTTTTTTTTTTTTTTTTTATTGAGTTTATTGGTACATTTAGGGATACAGTACAGTTACATTCATTGTTGGGATCATGTCCCTTTACATGGCAAGTCTTGATTCTCATTTTTTCCCCTTACCTCTGCCCTCCCTTCACCCCCTCCTCCCCTCCCCATCTACAAACACTTTATTTTCATCTTTTCATTCTCTCACATTTTTTTCTTTTCCCTTTTTGTTCTTCCCCTACGTATCAAACCTTCCCTACTCCTTTAGCTCCTTTCCTCCCATTTCTAAATGTCAGTAATCTTATTAGAATCTTATGCATTGTTGCAGAATATTCACACCAGGGAAACTATTTGGTATTTACACATGTGGGACTTATTTATTTCACTTAGGAGTATATCTTCAATATGTATCCATTTTCCTATGAATGAATCTATTCTCTCGCTCTTTATGGCTGAGTAATATTCCATTTTATAGAAAAACCACAACTTCTTTATCCAGTTTCCAACGGATGGGCAAATAGGTTGTTTCCAAGATTTAGCTATTACAAACTGTGCCGCTATAAACATGGGTGCACATACTTCTCTGTGATATGATTCTTTCAGTTCTCTTGGAAAGATACCCAACAGAGGGATGGCTGGGTCAAATGGAACCTCCAGTCCAAGCTCTTTGAGGTATCTCCATATTGATTTCCATAGTGGTTGCACTAGTCTGCACTCCCACCAACAATGGAGGAGGGTTCCTTTCTCCCCACAACCCCGCCAACATTTGTTATTGTGTGATTTCTTGATAGCAGCCATTCTTTGTGGGGTGAGGTGGAATCTTAGTGTTGTTTTCATCTGCATCTCTCGAATGACCAGTGATGTGGAACATTTTTGATATATTTTCTTGCTGCTTTCACTTCTTTGTATGAGAAATATCTGTTCATTTCGGATGCCCATTTTTGGATCGGGTCTTTATATTTGGGGGGACTGATTGTTTTGAGTTCTTTATATATCCTTGATAATAGTCCTTTGTCTGAGGTGCAGGGGACTGCCAAATCTTAAATGGAACTCTATTATCAAAATAAATGTAATCTTGGGGCAGGGGATTTGGCTCAATGTTTCCGCTGCCTACCTCACACGTGCAAGGTTCAGAGTTCAATTCCCAGTACCAAAAACAACAAACAAACAAACAAAATAAATGTAATATTTACATGTGTCAAGTACAACTTCTATGTTGTATTTTTATACTTCATTTCTTTAAAATTAGTTGTCTGTGGTGATTCTTTTTAATACAAGCGATCTGCCAGCAAGTCTGAGTCCTGTAGGAGCATATTTATAAAAATTAAAGTCAGCTGTGGGGACTGGGATGTTACCTACATAATTCTTGAAGCAAAAACCAAAAATCTTTCAAACCGAGACAGAGGCTCCCGATCGCAGGGAGCTAAGGTCGGCAGAACTCCCCTTTGCCAAGGGCTGCCTCGGTTCACACTGCCCCTCCTCCCCATCGAGAGGAGGAGCAGAAGGTAGGTGGCACACGCACAGGGAGTGCGACGTGGGCGGGCGAGCTGTCCCTGAAGGTCCCGTGGTCCTCGCCAAGCAAG